AAAAAAAATTGAATACAGAATAGTGACAGAAATCTGAAATCTCTCTCAGATGTTACTTCCTGCATATTTTTGCTTACTTTGTTATAACTTGTAAATTAGAAATAAAAATTATGTAGCAATTTGGCTCATTGTGGACCATTATTATATCATTACTTGATGGTGGCCTAAAATATACTGAAACTGTTATCCAGTTTTGTTTGTAATTTAAGTTTTTTGTTTGTTTGTTATATATTACAATGTTGTTATTGACTTATTCTTAACTGTGTTGATGTTTGTTTTAATGTTTTTACTGATATATACAGTGGAACCCCAGTGTTTGAATTGTGAATAGTCTGATATGGGGAAATAGTATTTGTCAGGCTTTAATTATCAAGTTCACACACTGGAGGATGTTGAACTGACTCTTCCAAAAGCCTCTGAGAGTTAGGTCAGTGTCAGAGATCACTTCAAAGCACTTTTGAAACAGGGCTTTTCCCTAAAGTTATTTTACAACTGAATTTTAAATAAGTCAGTGCATTTGGTCTCCAGAAAAACATTCAAAGACCAGGTCAGTTTTTTTCTGAACTAAATTGTTCAGACTCCAATTTGTTCAAGATCCAGTACGTTTCAACACCGAGGCTTCCCTGTAGTTTATGTATTCATTTTTCATACTTTCTTGGTCATCTTTTATTTCTGATGTAATTTTATCCTCTGCCGTAGTTCGTTTTTGTTTGATTTATTTGTAAAGTTGTTTACGTATCACTATGTAGGAGTATACTGTATGTGAATTTTTAACTTATTAAGAGAGTTTGTGTAGATATATTAATTAACTCTTCTGATAACACACTCAAGTCACCCTGAAACTTGTGTGTCATCGCTTTGCAATATTTTCGTGCAGTTAAAATTGGTTGATGAATATTGAAAATATTGAGCAGGTTGCCATTGATCAGTGCAGAACTAGGATAGTATATATGTAATTCACTACTGTTCGGAGTTTTGTTACTCTAAGCAGGTCGTTAATAAGCATTTTGTTAAAGTGTGTGTATTGGATAAAGTAGTTAATAAGTGGTTGAAAATAATTGCTGTGGCATGAGGCATTTGGGAAGAAAAAGGTGTATATCATTGGCAAAATATACTGCGAGTATGTGAATAAGATGCAGAGTGGCATTAATGACAGAGAGATGATGTTTGTCCATCAGGGAGTTTATCAGTCCATGGATCAGTGAATTTTTTTTTTAAATGTCTGTGTTAGCAGTACTCCCTGCAGACCACAAGAGGCATTGCCGGTAGTAAGATGGTAGTAGGGGTGGTATTTTGATTGTAAGGATAAATGGGAAAATTTCTCTGATGCATGTTTAAGTCACAGGATTACTCACTTAGTGGAGGGGAGACAATAAGCACAAAACTATTGAGTGGTGAAAAAGACACAATTGTAAGAGGAACTTTAGTGAAATGTTCCGTCTGTGGAAGAAGCTTCTCTGGTCGGTTTCACTGAAGCAGCCTGTAGTACCACAGGTGAAACATCTCACTAAATTTCCTCTTTTCAGATTGCTTCCTTTCACTATTTAGTAGAGCTTTTCGTTATTTGACCGAGGTTTTGCTCAGGCTTGGAAATCCTCTTCATAAAAAATTAAATAGCTGTTATACAGTGTAATAATTAAGCCTCTTAACACCCCTTAAAAGCGGAGGAACACTTTGTCACACCCCGAGGTTAGTATGGGTCAGCTCTCCTTCTTAACTGGTGAATAAAAAGCTTTAATTCACCATTTATGTATCTAAAAAATGCAAAATTAAACATTGATTTGAAGTGTTTTCTAACATTCCTGATTTTTTAGCTAAAATATGTAAATTATCACACTTTTAATTGAAACTGCTGCTACAGTTGCATTTTATGGGAAAAGTAAACAGAATCATTTTTTTTTTTTAACTTGTTGGCCGTCTCCCACCGAGGCAGGGTGACCCAAAAAGAAAGAAAATCCCCAAAAAGAAAATACTTTCATCATCATTCAACACTTTCACCTCACTCATACATAATCACTGTTTTTGCAGAGGTGCTCAGAACACAACAGTTTAGACGCATATACATATAAAGAGACACAACATATCCCTCCAAACTGCCAATATCCCAAACTCCTCCTTTAAAGTGCAGGCATTGTACTTCCCATTTCCAGTACTCAAGTCCGGCTATATAAAAATAACTGGTTTCCCTGAATCCCTTCATTAAATATTACCCTGCTCACACTCCAACAGCTTGTCAGGTTCCAAATACCATTTGTCTCCATTCACTCCTATCTAACACGCTCATGCATGCTTCCTGAAAGTCCAAGCCCATCGCCCACAAAACCTCCATTACCCCCTCCCTCCAACCTTTTCGAGGACGACCCCTGCCCCGCCTTCCTTCCCATACAGATTTATTCGCTCTCCATGTCATTCTAGTTTAAACCATTCTCTCTAAATGACCAAACCACCTCAACAACCCCCCTTCAGCTCTCTGACTAATATTTTTATTAACTCTACACCTTCTCCTAATTTCCACACTCCGAATTCTCTGCATAATATTTACACCACACATTGCCCTTAGACAGGACATCTCCATTGCCTCCAACTGCCTCCTCGCTGCAGCATTTACAACCCAAGCTTCACACCCATATAAGAGTGTTGGTACTACTATACTTTCATACATTCCCTTCTTTGCCTCCATAGATAGTGTTTTTTGTCTCCACATATACCTCAATGCACCACTCACCTTTTTTTCCCTCATCAATTCTATGGTTAGCCTCATCCTTCATACATCCATCTGCCGACACGTCAACTCCCAAATACATATCTGAAAACATTCACGCCTTCCATACTACTACTCTCCAATTTGATATCCAATTTTTCTTTATCTAAATTATTTGATACCCTCGTCACCTTACTCTTTTCTATGTTCACTTTCAACTTTCTACCTTTACACACACTCCCAAACTCGTTCACTAACCTTTGCAACTTTTCTTTAGAATCTCCCATAATCATCAGCAAAAAGTAACTGTGTCAATTCCCATTTTGTATTTGATTCCCCATAATTGAATCCCACCCCTCTCCTGAACACCCTAGCATTTACTTCTTTTACAACCCCCATCTATAAATATATTAACCATGGTGACATTACACTTCCCTGTCTTAGACCCACCTTTACCGGGAAGTAATCTCCCTCTCTTCTACACACCCTAACCTGAGCCTCACTATCCTCATAAAAACTCTTTACAGCATTTAGTAACTTGCAACATCTGCCACATTATAAACATTTATTGTAAACAAATTAAAATTTTAGAGATTTTCTTATTATTTTTGACTCGTGAATAGTGTTGTCAGAATTTGCAAAGACCCACAGTTTGGATAGGAAAGTTTTGATGTTGTTTTGGTTTCTCATGGTTTATTGTTTTGTCATTTGTAACTTGGTAATGGTCCAGGACTTATCCAGTCAACTGTAACGTGGTAATGGGCCACAATACTGTGACTAGGACAATGGACAAATAACCTGCACGTAGGAGAAAGAAGCTTATGACAACGTTTTGGTCCAACTTGCACTATTGACTAGTCTAACTGATTAGTCAGTGGTCCAAGTCAGACCAAAATGTCATCATAAGTTTCTCTCTCCTATGTATGGGTTATTTGTGCATTGTAAGGAAGTATTTAACAAAGTTCAGGCGAGGAGTTGACCCTTACACCAGCAGCGCCTCACACCAGAGTAGAAGACGAGTGGTATTTGTTATTCACACTGTGATTATGCTTAGCCAAGCAGACAAACAGGTTAATCTGGGATGAGTGTTATTGTTATTCACTCTGTGATTGTACTTAACCAAGCAGACAAACAGGCTAATCTGGGTGTTGGTGTATGCATGACACTTTTTTCCCCCCTGCACTGTCTAGTATGCCATCGCACCTTCAACTCCCTCCACTCAACACAATCCTACCCTCACGTAGGACAGTGTGCTTTTACCATTTTGTTAGTTGATTCTGTCGCGAATCCTGGTTTGCACAAATGTACATTTTTTTCCCTGTTCTAGTTGTAGATATTGGCTCAATGAATATAGGTGAAAAAATGTGTAGAATAAGAATAAAATCCTCTAGATTAGTATTTTTTATACTTAACACTTATGTATACATAATCCCTCCTTCCTGGGATAATCTTTTTAACTTATTGGCTAGTTTTTATTAAGATAATGATATACTGTAATGCAATGCATTATCAGTTTAAATTGGAAGATAATTTATTCATGCTTTTTCTTATATGCAATTATTTTAATTTTCCAATAAATAAATAAATTTATTAACTAGCATTAAATAGCTAGCCAAAGACTTCAGCTATGTTTTTTGAGCAATTATTGACGGTAATAGTTGTTAAGAATTAATGTCAGTCCCTACTAACACCGTGATGTTTCAGTACTAGCTGTGGAGCACACCCTAACACTTAGTGACTACTGTTACGATTTACACTAGTAATACATCTTGTCAGTTGTAAATATTGTTTGAAGATTGTAATATTATTATTGCTTACACACTAAATTTCATAATTTAATGTTTTATATGTATACTGTTTGTGCAAAAATAGCAAACGTGATACAAAGATGCAAAACAATCATGGGAGAAGTTGAATGATAGCTCTAGGCCTTTTATGTTGCAATCAGCACATCAAGAGCTTGCAGTGTTGCAGAAAAGAGGAAGTCCAAGCAAATATGTTCAGGGGAACATCTTTCCTCGGATCTAAGCAAATATGCTTCCTTCGGCGCATTTGTTTGGACTTTCTCTTTTCTGCAACATTGCAATATGAAAGGCCTAGAGCTATCATTCAGCTCCTGTGGTTTTTTACATACTGTTTGTAAATATATAAGTAGATAGTAAGTTAGAAAATGCTTCATTGTGGATCATTATTATAAACTGGTTGAGAGTAGCTGTTGTGCTATGTTGTGTGGGCTTAGCCATGTGCTGTGTGATCTAATGTGGGTTTGGTTATTGTGGTGGTGGTGGCTGTGGTGCAGGCTTGCTGTCACGGGTCAAGGAATCTGCCGAGAGTGTCCAGAACCTTATACAGAACAAGGTGGAACAGTCGGGATTCCGCCCTACCACACTCAACTCAGCCAAGGGTGAGTTTTGATCCTGTATATACTTTTGATGATATACCTTTGATGAGTTCTAAGAGTCTACTCTTGGAGCCCAGCCATGGGCCAGGGAAAATTTTATGTTCATGCATGCCCTTCACGTCACAAAATTCATTTCTTCATTTCTTATAATTGTTCCAAAACCTGAAATCATAGAGCCAGGGAAAACCGGTTAGCTGGTGGTAGTGATAGTAGAAGTAGTAGCAGTAACAGTAGTAGTAGTATTAGAAGTAGCATCAAAAGTAGTAGTAACAGTAGTAGCAGCAACAACGGTAGTAGTAGCAGCAACAGTGAGTCCTGGAGGTGGGAAGTATAGTGCCTGCACTCTAAAGGAGGAGTTTGGGATATTTGCTGTTTAGAGTGACATCTAAACTGATATCTGCGTGCCTCTGGCAAGACAGTGATACTGTGAATAATGGCAAATGTATTTCTTTTTAGGGTCACCCTGCTTTGGTGGGAGATGGCCAGTGAGTTAAAAAGAAAATATTAACAATTCCTGATTAGTGATTTGTCTCAAGAGTGTCTGGCAGAGTTTCAATTCAGAGCTGGAGAAAGTAAAGAAATGCTTGCTGAACAACGAAGGCAGGACACCGCAAGTTTAAATTTACCATAGCTGTGTATGGGTAGTTACCACACTCAGATTTATAGTCATAACTAGAGAACACACCTGTGTCAAGCAAGTTCAATCGTAATTGAATTTTTTACAGGATATTATCTGAATTGTTCCAGCTATAGTATTGTGAATTTTAGTCTTTGAAAAGAATAAGTGTTTAGGATAGATAGGAACAGTGAGGGGCGATTACCAGGGGTAATCTCTGATGATTTTCTATAGCCTTGCATGAACCTTAGTTCTCAGGTGCTGTTGTAACTGAGTGTGGGCCAGTGGTTAGCATGGTGGAAAAAAGACACAGTTGCAAAGAGGTACTTTTCTCTCCACTTAACTTTTCTCTCCACTTAACTTTTTTATCCACTTAACTGTTTTCTTCACTTAATTTTTTTTTCCACTTGTCTGCTTTGCACGATTTGTCTCCAGTGTTAGCTTGTGTTTACTTTATCTTTCCACATTATAATTTAAAGAATTTGCATATCATAGGTACTGTCAATTTCAGTATTGCATTCATAATTAATTTTTTTTTTTTTTACACACTGGCCATCTCCCACCGAGCTGTAACACATGTTCTTTGTACAGCTTATTTGACTCTTGCTTTTTGCTTAGATCTTACCAGCTTCTCATCCTCAACATTACATATTGTTCCAGGTAGTAAAACAAAATCTTAGAAAGTTTGGTTTGAGATAAACATTGTTTTGCTTACAGCGAATATAACTCATGAAATCGTAATAAATATTTGTAAACCATCCATGGAACAAGTGGCCTGGAGTTGTAGGACTGACTCACCATAGGTAAAAACTCCTCCTGTTCCGTGGTCTGGAGTGAATCTAGTATTATGCATTTAGATGATGATATTTTTAACTATTTCATTTTGTAGGTAATATTGTACGTATATATTATCAGTATACCGTACGGTGGTACCTTGACTTAAGAGTGCCCCAACTTACGAGTTGTCTGAGTTACGAGCCGTCACTTGGTCGATTTTTTTGCTTTGAGTTGCAAGCCAGAATCCAAGTTAGCTTCAGATACGCCACCACTAACTGGCAGCGTATGTGAAGTCAAATCCAACTCTGTACCCAGAGGAATGTCAGGTACTTTGTCCCATCCCACATGCTCTTCCAAGACATAACTGGAAGGGTAATACTCCCATACTAATCCCAGATTGTAGTGAGGCACCTTGTCCCTTGTTTTGTTCTCGTATAAATCTGAGGAAGAGGTAACCTCCAGAGTGTTTCCAGAAACATTAATCAAGGTGGGTAGAGTACTAATAGTGGTGGGTGGAGTAGTTGTGGTGGTGAGTGGAGTAGTCGTGGTGGTGAGTGGAGTAGGGATAGTGGTGGGCGGAGTAGTGATAGTGGTGGGTGGAGTAGTGAAGGTGGTGGGTGGAGTAGAGATGGTGGTGGGTGGAATAGTGAGGGTGGTAGATGGAGTCGAGATGGTGGTGGGTAGAGTAGTGAGGGTGGTGGATGGAGTAGTAATAATGGTGGGTGGAGTAGAGATGGTGGTGGGTGGAGTAGTGAGGGTGGTGGATGGAGTCGAGATGGTGGTGGGTAGAGTAGTGAGGGTGGTGGATGGAGTAGTAATAATGGTGGGTGGAGTAGAGATGGTGGTGGGTGGAGTAGTGAGGGTGGTGGATGGGGTAGTAATAATGGTGGGTGGAGTAGAGATGGTGGTGGGTGGAGTAGTGAGGGTGGTGGATGGAGTAGTAATAATGGTGGGTGGAGTAGAGATGGTGGTGGGTGGAGTAGTGAGGGTGGTGAGTGGAGTAGTGAGGGTGGTGGATGGAGTAGTAATAATGGTGGGTGGAGTAGAGATGGTGGTGGGTGGAGTAGTGAGGGTGGTGGGTGGAGTAGTGAGGGTGGTGAGTGGAGTATACAGTACAATATTTCTTACTTATAAATACATTTTTCTTATTTAAAAACATGTAACAAAAAAAATTGGGGCAGTTTTTTGGGGGGTGGAATGGATTAATGGCATTTCAGTTAATTTCAATGAGGAAAATTGACTTCATATATGAGCAAATTGAGTTACGAGTTCTGTCACAGAACAAATTAAACTCGTAAGTCAAGGTACCACTGTTGCATTTGTTTGATTAGCAGATTTTTAAGGTAATACTACAGTAGTTTATGTTTCACATCTTTTAAGGTAATACTGCAGTAATTTATGTTTCACATCTTTTTGGATAATACTGCAGTAATTTATGTCTCATCTTTACTTACAGATGGTAATGGTAGCGGTCGTGTACACATCCCGAGGCATCTGGATGTTACTGCACAGACCTTGCAGATTGGACAAATGCTGATGTCATTGTTGCACTCGTGGGGACTGGACCCATCACTGGACCACACATGTGAACATATTCTTGGTCTTCTCAAACCCAGGGTTCCAGTGTCCTATGGACTTATATCAAAGTCTGGTAGGTTCTTTTGGGACTTTATAAGGCCATCTCGTATTGGATGTCATTTTTGCTCAAGTATAAACTTTATTTTTTATTATATTATTATTAACACATCAGCTGTTTCCCACCATGGCAGGGTGACCCGAAAAAGAAGAAACACTTTTATCATCGCTCACTCCATCACTGTCTTGCCAGAGGTGTGCCGATACTACAGTTCAAAAACTGCAACATACCTTCACCTTTCCTTCAGAGTGCAGGCACTGTACTTCCTACCTCCATCTGTACTTCCCACCTCCATCTGTACTTCCTACCTCCATCTGTACTTCCCACCTCCATCTGTACTTCCCACCTCCATCTGTACTTCCCACCTCCATCTGTACTTCCCACCTCCATCTGTACTTCCCACCTCCATCTGTACTTCCCACCTCCATCTGTACTTCCCACCTCCATCTGCACTTCCCACCTCCATCTGTACTTCCCACCTCCATCTGTACTTCCCACCTCCATCTGTACTTCCCACCTCCATCTGTACTTCTCACCTCCATCTGTACTTCCCACCTCCATCTGTACTTCCCACCTCCATCTGTACTTCCCATCTCCATCTGTACTTCCCACCTCCATCTGTACTTCCCACCTCCATCTGTACTTCCCACCTCCATCTGTACTTCCCACCTCCATCTGTACTTCCCACCTCCATCTGTACTTCCCACCTCCATCTGTACTTCCCACCTCCATCTGTACTTCCCATCTCCATCTGTACTTCCCACCTCCATCTGTACTTCCCACCTCCATCTGTACTTCCCACCTCCATCTGTACTTCCCACCTCCATCTGTACTTCCCACCTCCATCTGTACTTCCCACCTCCATCTGTACTTCCCACCTCCATCTGTACTTCCCACCTCCATCTGTACTTCCCACCTCCATCTGTACTTCCCACCTCCATCTGTACTTCCCACCTCCATCTGTACTTCCTACCTCCATCTGTACTTCCCACCTCCATCTGTACTTCCCACCTCCATCTGTACTTCCCACCTCCATCTGTACTTCCCACCTCCATCTGTACTTCTCACCTCCATCTGTACTTCTCACCTCCATCTGTACTTCCCACCTCCATCTGTACTTCCCACCTCCATCTTAAGTTACAGTGGGATTCTGTGAAACAATGTGATTCACTTAAGATATTTTTCACTACAAAAAACTTACTTTGAATCCTTATGTAGATAAAGCAGTGGGCAGCTGTATTTAGTTACACTATTGATATTGAGCAATTTAGAATAAGTTTGATACAATTTAGGCATCTAGAAATATTTATTGTAATATGGTGTGTGCGAGCATATTTTTGTGCTATAACCCGCTGGCTGTCTCCCACCAATGCAACTTAGCCTGAAAAAGAAACACTGTCACCATCATTCACACTATTACTCAGGAAGTGAGTGTCTTGTGCTCAGCAGATGGAGGATCAAGCCTCCTCCATGTCTTCTGCTAAATGACCCACATGGGTTTAGTGCCTAACATGTTTTGACTTACCATTTATTAATTATGTATTAAGTTGCATGTAGGTTTTTTTTTTTATCAAGTTGGCCATCTCCCACTGAGGCAGGGTGACCCAAAAAGAAAATACTTTCATCATCATTCAACACTTTCACCTCACTCACACATAATCACTGTCTTTGCAGAGATGCCCAGATATAATAATTTAGAAGCATATATAACATACCACTCCAAAACGCCAATATCCCAAACCCTTTAAAGTGCAGGCATTGTACTTCCCCAAAAATAATTTGAGAGAAAAAAAAAACATTATCCATGGAGGCAAGGAAGGGAATGTACGAAAGTATAGTGATACCAGCACTTACATGAGTGTGAAGCTTGGGTTCCAAATGCTGCAGCGAGGAGGCAGCTGGAGGAGGTAGAGATTAGAGATGTCCTGTTTAAGGGCAGTGTGTGGTGTAAATATTATGCAGAGAATTTGGAGGGTGGAAATTAGGAGAAGGTGTGGAGTTAATAAAAGTATTAGTCAGAGGGCTGAAGAGGGGTTGTTGAGTTGGTTTGGTCATTTAGAGAGAATGGATCAAAGTAGAATGACTTGGAAAGCGTATAAATCTGTAGGGGAAGGAAGGCAGGGTAGGGGTCGTTCTCAAAAAGGTTGGAGTGAGGGGGGGTAAAGGAGGTTTTGTGGGCGAGGGGCTTGGACTTCCAGCATGTGTGAGCGTGTTAGATAGGAGTGAATGGAGACAAATGGTTTTGGGGACCTGATGAGCTGTTGGAGTGAGAGCAGGGTAATAGTGAAGGGATTCAGGGAAACCGGTTATTTTGATATAGCCGGACTTGAGTTGCACGTAGGTATGGTGATACATTCACCATCATTCATTCAACAGTTGTCTCATCAAAAGTGCCTCAACATCATAAGTCAAATGAGCCTCTGAATTGCAAAATCCCCACCGTTTTTTACTCAAAAATTTCTAGTTGGAAATAGATTGTGAATTATTACATCACTGATTGTCTGTCTTTTATTGCAGGGTATATGGCACTGTTCATGCCCACTTGGCATCCAGTGCGAGACGCGGACATGCCCCCAATTAACTTACCCCCAGACCTGGCTTCAGAGTTACCGCCGGAGATGGTTGAACTGGAGCACAGAACACAGGTAGTGTCTCACGCTTTGTAGTCCTGATTACTTTTTTATTGTAAGGTCTGTGTGTTGCAAATCGCATACTGAGGGGGAAAGGATCAATGACTATTCTTGCTAATTAGAAATTACTTATAAAATTTATTGAGGTCTGTCAAAATTAATACTGTAGTCTGTGCCAATAAAAAACTAATAATCCTCTTATTATTTAAACTTGACATTTAAGGTCAGTTGAAACAACTAGGATACCATTAAGCAATCAGTAATACTTTTATTATTTGTGGAATAATAATATTTTTGTAGCTGTTTTAAGTATTTTTTTTTATTTCAGTGATACAACACCATAATAACTTGGGGGTATTACTTCTGATTGAATAATATGTAGATAAACAATTAACTATAGACAGTATTGATTATTTCTGTTGAATCCAGAATTCTGTATACCATTCTTGCCATTAAAATTGTTTTTTCACACATTTACCCAAAATTCTGAGTATAATATAGGCTTAGTAGAAATGTTTTGTAGTATTTTACAGCATTCTAACAATTTTAAAAGTTTATTTTTACTTAACAATAGCATATATAGCAAAGGAGACTAATCTGAAATAACAAAAAGTCACAATACTATGACTTGAACAACACACAAATAACCCAGTGTTTTGGTCTAACTTAGATGGTTAGTGTGACTTGTAAATGCTCCAAGTCGGACCAAAACATATTCATGAGCTTCTCTCTCCTGTATGTGTGGTTATTTGTGTGAGATTAATCTGAGTATACTACTCATTAACAAATGACTTTCTAGGTGTTCACTTGTCGTGGGCACTGGGAGGTTTCTCCGGCACTTACCACCCACCACCTGTTGGCGCTTGTCTCAGTTGCCAACACACTCCAGGACATGAATGCTGCAACTCTCATTCCTGAGCAGGAGAGACGACGCAAAAATCATATGTGAGTCAGTGGTGAATGTTTTGAGCTAATAAATAGGTACTGGTTTATGTGGATGATCACTCTGGGTGCTTTGGGATTCTCTTTTGGATGGGCTGCCTTTTACAAAGTGACACTCCGTGCTGCATGTGCCTAATGAGTCGGGTTGTGATAGTTATGTTGGCATATGGGCCACAAGCAGCAGCAGCCTGCTTGACCAGGAAGTCTTATCTCAGGCTGGGTTGCAAGAACAGAATTGTTAAAACTTGGTCATAAGTACAGTGGACATTTATGATTTGCAAGAGTTAGGGTCTTGAAAATTGCGCTGCCAGTGACTTCTACGATTTACAGACTGATAAACTTTTTCTTTAACACACCAGCCATCCCTCACTGAGGCAGGGTGACATTTAGTAATTTATACAAAAGTGGTTACTAGCCCCTTGCTCCTGGCATTTTAGTCGCCTCTTACAACACTCCTGGAGTAATATCAAAACTGCCATCTTATATCATTTACCCTTATATACAACACTCCTAACATAAGTCTTAGTTCTGGTTTGCTTACTCTGTAAGCATTATTATTATTATTTTTTTTTTATTTTTTTTATTATCACACTGGCCGATTCCCACCAAGGCAGGGTGGCCCGAAAAAGAAAAACTTTCACCATCATTCACTCCATCACTGTCTTGCCAGAAGGGTGCTTTACACTACAGTTTTTAAACTGCAACATTAACACCCCTCCTTCAGAGTGCAGGCACTGTACTTCCCATCTCCAGGACTCAAGTCCGGAAAGGTGGTTTCCTTGAATCCCTTCATAAATGTTACTTTGCTCACACTCCAACAGCACGTCAAGTATTAAAAACCATTTGTCTCCATTCACTCCTATCAAACACGCTCACGCATGCCTGCTGGAAGTCCAAGCCCCTCGAGAAACATATGAAGAAAAATAGGGTTGCCTTTCTCAGACCTCTATTTCTATGGCCTTGGGGAAGTAGGTTGTTGACTCAGTGTAAGAGTTTATCTCTTTCATAAAATTATTGGTATAGAGTAACAAGAAGTTGATGAATTAGACACACGTACAACACCTGGATATCAATATTTTGAAAAGGTGTTATCAACCTGTGTCTTTTTTCAGTTCAGAAGAGCTTATTAACTTGAGACATAATATTCCTTCCACAGAAAGTGGGGAGTGTGAGCATGAATGACCCTCAAATCCTCCAGCATTAACATCATTATACAGTGAGCTTAACCTGATGACACTAGAGGATAGGTGGGACATGATAATAATGTATAAAATACTGAGAGGAATTGACAAGGTGGACAGGGCTAGAAAGTTTCAGAGATGGGACACAGGAACAAGAGGACACAACTTGAAGTTGAAAACTCAGACAAGTCATAGGGATGTTAGGAAGTATTTCTTCAGCTTTAGAGTTGTCAGGAAGTGGAACAATCTGGGGGGTTGTGTAGTGAGGCAGGATCCATACATAGCTTTAAGAGGAAATATGATAAAGCTCTTGGAGCAAGGAGAGAGTGACCTAGAAGCAACTAGCTAGATGCAGGCCCAGGAGTTGTCACTCGACCCCTACAACTGCATATAGGTGAGTATTTTGTTGCACACATTCATATTTGAAATAGTGACAAGATAGAGTTGTACAAACCATACCACGGGTGGGGATAGAACCTGCGATCAGAGAGTCATAAAACTCCAGACCGACGCGTTAGCCACTGGGCCAACTGGCTACAATAACATTCATCCAACTAGGTATATTTATACACCATAGGAAGGTTAGCATAGGTGCCAGTGGTGCCTATGCTAACCTTCCTTTGGTGTATAAATATACATAGATGAATCTCATTGTAGTCATCTGGCCCAGTGGCTAACGCATTGGTCTGGAGTTTTATGACTGTTCACGGGTTCTATCCCTGCCCGTGGTATGGTTTGTTTGCAATTGTGTCATTACGATTTTGTGAGTCATAGAGTTGTATCTTACCTTTCTTATTGTTTTTGCTACAGAAATGCATAGATAGAGTTGATACAGCCCTTTTTGACTGGAATGGTCAATTGTGGCCTCCACCTGTGGCCTTTGTCTTCACTACATCAGAAACACTATGCAATTTTCTATGTTTTCACACTTCATCATCAGTCACCAACATATCCAACTATTATATAAATGCAGGTAGCATAGGTAAATGATTAGTGAAGGCACAAGAAAGTATAATTAAGTGTTGACACTAGTCGTGTGAGTAACCTACCAGCCATAACCACCATCACCTGCCACTTCTACTTTAACCACAATTTCACCCCCTAGAAATTACAAGAGTTTCATGCTTAATTGTTTTCTTGGCACCTCCAACATCACTTATATGTATTACTTTTGTAAACCATGGATGGTTGCTGACTCAACAGACCTACTCCCTTATAATTTTTGCACTTTGCATGCTCTCTGCCAATCCCTAGATACCATACCCTCTTCCATACATTTATTAAATAAAAGCACTAACCACTAGAAAACTATATCCCCACCTGCTTTTAACATTTCTATCTTTATCCCATCAATCCAAGCTGCTTTACCCCCTTTCATTTTTACCTACTGCCTCACGAACTTCCCCCGCACTCACAACTGGCTCTTCCTCACTCCTACAAGATGTTATTCCTCCTTGCCCTATACACGAAATCACAGTTTCCCTATCTTCATCAACATTTAACAATACCTCAAAATATTCCCTCCATCTTCCCAATACCTCTAACTCTCCATAATAATAGAGTAAAATATTGAATATTTGAAATTTACAACTCTTCACCTGTGTAGACTTAAGTAATCTTTAAGTACATGTATTAGGTTAAGTCTGCCCGAAATGCCCCGACATTATAGTGGCTTTCTTTGAACCAATCAAATTATGAAATGTAAACACACACATTGTAACCTTTGCAAAGAAATAAACTTTGTTTGTTTTGAAGTAAACCCTAGATTGAACAGACTAATGGGGAGAGTTGGGGCACTTCTAATTGTGGTGGCTAGAAATGAGTTTGTTGAGTCATGTTCATAACAATATAGGACAGTGCCTCACAACATAATAACTCAGTTTATCAAGCCATGGAACAGGTGGGATTTGAACTCGTGGCACTCAAGTCCTAAAACCCTGGCCTGGAGTTTTAGGGCTCACTTGCAGTGGATTCAAACCCTACCCATTCTGTGGTTTGTTAATATCAGACAACTCTGTAACTAGCAAACTTTGCTCATTGTTTCTTAAATCAGCTGACCTGGGTGATTTTTGCCTTGCATTTTTGAAGTCTGTTATGTTGAGGTTTGTTAAATTGGATGTAATATCCTTAGAATAACTTGCAATTATTTCTTAATTTTTTTATATCTTATTATTAAAATTTTTGTTCTAATTATGTTATTAATTTTATTCCTCTGTCAACTGATTTTTCTCCACTCTTTTAATTTTTTTTTTTAACATGTTGGCCATTTCCCACTGAGTCAGGGTGACCCAAAAGGAAAGAAAAACCCAAAAAGAAAGAAATAAATTTTCATCATTATTCAACACTTTCACCATCACTCATACATAAACATAATCACTGTCTTTGCAGAGGCGCTCAGGTACGACAGTTTAGGCGTCCCTCCAAGCTGCCAGTATCCCAAACCCCTCCTTTAAAGTGCAGCCATTGTGCTTCCCATTTCTAGGACTCAAGTCTGGCTAACCAGTTTTCCTGAATCCCTTCACAAAATATACCTTGCTCACACTCCAACTGCCATTAATTCAGCTACTTTTGCTTCAGTAAAAATGTTAGAAATATATACTGACAGCATGTTAGCTAAAAGGACACAGATGCAGCTAACATTAGGTTTTATTGTGGCAACGTTTCACTCTCCAGGAGCTTTGTTGACCCATAACTTCTTTGACAAATATTTTTAATAAAAATCACCATTTGACTATCTTTACAGCCAAAGCTCCAAAGCCAACCAAATGGTGACCAATCACGAAGATGAATTCTCTCGGCAACAGTCTGTGATAAAACAAGGATGGTCAACGCTGACAGCTCTACATACAGTTCTCCTGCCTGACTGTGTTGCAGCTGCTGGAGCCCCGACATATCAGCCTCCCATGGTGGAAATTCTTGCCCGCAGATGGCAAGACCGTTGTCAAGAGGTATAATACACCTGGTTTGATTGCAGGTGCTCCTCGCTTTATGATGATTCAGCTTATGATATTTCAGCTTTATGGTGGTTCGACTTACAATATTTTGACTGTATGATGGTTCCACTTAGGATGTTTTCAACTTACAATGGGTTCATCAGAATGTAGCCCTATCGTAAGTCAGGGAGCACCTTTATTGGTAAACTTTGTACTAGTAAACTCTTGCAGAAATGAGTAGGAAGTCCTACTCATTTCTGCAACATTGCAAGCTCCTGATGTGTTGATTGCAACACAAAAGACCTAGAGCTATCATTCATCTTCCCCTGTGGTTGTTTTGCATCTTATATCCCTTGCTCGGGATTTTTTCATAATTATCTACCGTATATTGCAATAAACTTGGATGTGAATCTTTAAATTTATATTCAAATTCATTTAGAATTTTTCCTATTTTGGCTATTTCTCATCAAGGGAGGATGACCAAAGAAGGAAACACGTTCACCATTACTCATTCAGCAGATGTCCCAGCAGAAGTGTGGGGCTTCAGTACTCATTCACAACTATGTAATGATAATTTCCTGTAGGTCAGGGAAGCAGCACAGGCTCTCTTGAAAACAGAGCTGTCTCGGATGGGCGCCAACGGTCGGCAGAAACTGGTAGAGCTGTGGTCGCCTCACTTGCCAACACACACAGAACCTTTGCCCACTGGCCCAACCAGCTACAGCAACCCAGAGGCCCAGCACCCACCTCGACCCGAACATCCCGCCACCAAGGTACATTCTGAAGCTCTCAAGTTTCTTTGAAGCTAAATGCTTTGATGCTATGATTTTTTCTTACCTAAACTTTCGTGTAAAAATATAATTTTTCATCATTTCCCATTTTCACGAGTATGAGGAGATACTCGTCTTGATATGATGGAAAAGTTTTTTAAAACACACCGGCCTTCACTCACCGAGGTAAGGTGACCTTAATTTTCTTCTCCTTACATTTACTAATTTATACAGGAGGAGGAGTTACTAGACCTTGCTCCCACCATTTTAGTCACCTCTTATGACATGCATGACTTGTGGAGGAAAGATTCTTCTCCACTTTCCCATGGAGAGGATGGAAAAGTATTAGGTGAAAAAAGGGTTAAGGTATTAAGAGGCACGTAAGTTCCCCTGTCTTCGAATAACATGTTCATTTGTCCACTGTAATCTACCTTGTCCATAATTACTATCGCATTTGCTTTGTCTGTTTCATAAGGTGAAAGAGGGACTATAAGTATATTAATTCAAGGATTATGTGGAGTAAAATAAAGGTTGGATGTGAAAAATGGGTTATAGTAAGCGTATATGCACCTGGAGAAGAGAGAAGTGTAGAGGAGAGAGAGAGAGATTTTGGAAAATGTTGAGTGAATGCGTGGGGAGTTTTGAAGCAAGTGTGAGAGTACTTGCGGTTGGGGATTTCAATGCTAAAGTGGGTAAAAATGTTGTGGAGGGAGTAGTAGGTAAATTTGGGGTGCCAGGGGTAAATGTAAATGGGGAGCCTTTAATTGAGCTATGTGTAGAAAGAGATTTGGTAATAAGTAATACATATTTTACAAAAAAGAGGATAAATAAATATACAAGGTATGATGTAGCACATAATGAAAGTAGTTTGTTAGATAATGTATTGATGGATAAAAGGTTAATGGGTAGGCTCCAGGATGTACATGTTTATAGAGAGGCAACTTATATATCGGATCATTATTTAGTTGTAACTACAGTTAGAGTAAGAGGTAGATGGGACAAGAGGAAGGTGGCAACAACAAGTAGGAGGGAAGTGAAAGTGTATAAACTAAGGGGGGAGGAAGTTCAGGTAAGATATAAGCGACTATTGGCAGAAAGATGGGCTGGTGCAAAGATGAGTAGTGGGGGGGGTTGAAGAGGGTTGGATGAGTTTTAAAAATGCAGTATTAGAATATGGGGCAGAAGTTTGTGGATATAGGAGGGTGGGGGCAGGAGGAAAGAGGAGTGATTGGTGGAATGATGAAGTAAAGGGTGTGATAAAAGAGAAAAAGTTAGCTTATGAGAGGTTTTTACAAAGCAGAAGTGTTATAAGAAGAGCAGAGTATATGGAGAGTAAAAGAAAGGTGAAGAGAGAGGTGAGAGAGTGCAAAAGGAGAGCAGATGATAGAGTGGGAGAGGCACTGTCAAGAAATGTTAATGAAAATAAGAAAAAATTTTGGAGTGAGTTAAACAAGTTAAGAAAGCCTAGGGAACGTATGGATTTGTCAGTTAAAAACAGAGTAGGAGAGTTAGTAAATAACAAAAAAGGCACAATACCGTGACTGGAACGATACACAAATAACCCACACATAAAAGAGAGAAGCTTACGACGACGTTTCGGTCCAACTTGGACCATTGACAAAGTCACACTAACCAGAGGTGGAGCAGGACGGCTATATATAGGCAGGAAGAGGTGGTGGTAGTAGTAGTAGTACAAGAATTGTATATAATACCGACAAGATGAAATTAAGACACATGCACAACACCCGGGCATCCCCATCGTAGACGTTTCGCCATCCAGCCAGGATGGCGAAACGTCTACGATGGGGATGCCCGGGTGTTGTGCATGTGTCTTAATTTCATCTTGTCGGTATTATATACAATTCTTGTACTACTACTACTACTACCACCACCTCTTCCTGCCTATATATAGCCGTCCTGCTCCACCTCTGGTTAGTGTGACTTTGTCAATGGTCCAAGTCGGACCGAAACGTAGTCGTAAGCTTCTCTCTTTTATGTGCGGGTTATTTGTGTAGGGGAGTTAGTAGATGGGGAGAGGGAGGTATTAGGTAGATGGCGAGAATATTTTGAGGAACTTTTAAATGTTGAGGAAGAAAGGGAGGCGGTAATTTCATGCACTGGCCAGGGAGGTATACCATCTTTTAGGAGTGAAGAAGAGCAGAATGTAAGTGTGGGGGAGGTACGTGAGGCATTACGTAGAATGAAAGGGGGTAAAGCAGCTGGAACTGATGGGATCATGATAGAAATGTTAAAAGCAGGGGGGGAATATAGTGTTGGAGTGGTTGGTACTTTTGTTTAATAAATGTATGAAAGAGGGGAAGGTACTTAGGGATTGGCAGAGAGCATGTATAGTCCCTTCATATAAAGGGAAGGGGGACAAAAGAGATTGTAAAAATTATAGGGGAATAAGTTTACTGAGTATACCAGGAAAAGTGTACGGTAGGGTTATTATTGAAAGAATTAGAGGTAAGACAGAATGTAGGATTGTGGATAAGCAAGGAGGTTTTAGAGTGGTTGGGGATGTGTAGATCAAACGTTTACATTGAAGCATATATATGAACAGTATTTAGATAAAGGTAGGAAAGTTTTTATTGCATTTATGGATTTAGAAAAGACATATGATAGAGTGGATAGGGGAGCAATGTGGCAGATGTTGCAAGTATATGGAATATGTGGTAAGTTACTAAATGCTGTAAAGAGTTTTTATGAGGATAGTGAGGCTCAGGTTAGGGTGTGTAAAAGAGAAGGAGACTACTTCCCGGTAAAAGTAGGTCTTAAACAGGGATGTGTAATGTCACCATGGTTGTTTAATATACATGTATTTATAGATGGGGTTGTAAAAGAAGTAAATGCTAGGGTGTTCAGGAGAGGGGTGGGATTAAATTATGGGGAATCAAATACAAAATGGGAATTGACACAGTTACTTTTTGCTGATGATACTGTGCTTATGGGAGATTCTAAAGAAAAATTGCAAAGGTTAGTGGATGAGTTTGGGAGTGTGTGTTAAGGTAGAAAGTTGAAAGTGAACATAGAAAAGAGTAAGGTGATGAGGGTATCAAATGATTTAGATAAAGAAAAATTGGATATCAAATTGGGGAGGAGGAGTATGGAAGAAGTGAATGTTTTCAGATACTTGGGAATTGACGTGTCGGCGGATGGATTTATGAAGGATGAGGTTAATCATAGAATTGATGAGAGAAAACAGGTGAGTGGTGCATTGAGGTATATGTGGAGACAAAAAAAAAACGTTATCTATGGAGGGAAAGAAGGGAATGTATGAAAGTATAGTAGTACCAACACTCTTATATGGATGTGAAGCTTGGGTTGTGAATGCAGCAGCGAGGAGGCGGTTGGAGGCAGTGGAGATGTCCTGTCTAAGGGCAATGTGTGGTGTAAATATTATGCAGAAAATTTGGAGTGTGGAAATTAGGAGAAGGTGTGGAGCTAAAAGTATTAGTCAGAGGGCTGAAGAGGGGTTGTTGAGGTGGTTTGGTCATTTAGAGAGAATGGATCAAAGTAGAATGACATGGAGAGCATTTAAATCTGTAGGAGAAGGAAGGCGGGGTAGGGGTCATCCTCGAAAAGGTTGGAAGGAAGGGGTAAGGGAGGTTTTGTGGGCAAGGGGCTTGGACTTCCAGCAGGCGTGCATGAGTGTGTTCGATAGGAGTGAATGGAGACGAATGGTATTTGGGACCTGACGGTCTGTTGGAGTGTGAGCAGGGTAATATTTAGTGAAGGGATTCAGGGAATCCGGTTATTTTTATATTGCCGGACTTGAGTCCTGGAAATGGGAAGTACAATACCTGCACTCTAAAGGAGGGGTTCGGGATATTAGCAGTTTGGAGAGATATGTTGTGTATCTTTATACGTATATGCTTCTAAACTGTTGTGTTCTGAGCACCTCTGCAAAAACAGTGATTATGTGTGAGTGAGGTGAAAGTGTTGAATGATGATGAAAGTATTTTCTTTTTGGGGATTTTCTTTCTTTTTGGGTCACCCTGCCTCAGTGGGAGACGGCCGACTTGTTGAAAAAAAAATAAAACTTACCAAATCTTTGATGATAATTATGTTGCAGAGGTCTAAGCTTTGCTCACACCTCTGCAACACAATTGTCATCAAAGATTTGCTAAGTTATACCACGAATTAAGGAAAGATCCTAGACTTTCCCTTACGAAAGCAGACAAAGCAAATGCAATAGTAATTATGGACAAGGTAGATCATGGTGGAAAAATGAACATGTTATTAGAAGACAGAGGTACTTACGTGCCCCTTTACCCTTCCAGGGTCCAAGGCCCAAATCGGAAGGGGTGCCCCAGTGTCCAAGAAATTTTGAAAAAAAAAAAAAAATTCTTACAGAATTAAAGAGTATATTTTTGTGAAGGTAATAAAACAAAAAAAAAATTTCTGATCAGTACTTACCGAGATACAGAGGCGAAAAGCTGACCCAAAATGACCGGGTGCCGGCAACATCGGCGATTTCCGCAAACTCGCCTTTCTTTATTTTACGTTTTTTATACTTTTTCTTTTCTTTTCTAATTTTTTTCTTTTCTAGTAACATTTGTGTCCTGTGAGACCAATACTGTATATAATGTATATAAACTCACTGTATTGAACACAATAACCGCACTAAAGTTATTATTATAATAATCTTAAGTTAATTTTAAGCCTGCCCATAATGCTCTGCATACAAGGGGCTTTGGCATGCTGCACTTTAAAAATTGTATTCCTTGTATTTCTCTGTATCATGTTCAAATTAATAAATAAATAAAATAAATAAATTGTTTACCACTTTTGTTTATTACAATAAACATGCACAAATCTTGTATAATACTAATGTTCTATCATATATGTACATATGTACAATCACTGGACATGTTTTTAGAACTGCTGCAGCTTGTGGAAGTCCTTGAAACAGAGGTACCTTACATTCCTCGCACATAAACCAAGTGTCTTTGCGCCTTTGTTGCCATCATTTTGTTTGTGCACAGACAACACATCTCTTCTGAGCAAATTTCTTCTTAGTTGCAGGAAGTTGTATTATGAAGTGATCACTTTCCCTCCTCAAACGCTTGGGTATACTCTGAGGAGTTTGAAGACCTTGTTGTATTGCAGGTGTTGTTACCTGGTATTTCATTACGAGTTGTCTGACAACAGACAAACAAAATTCACCATACAGTGGTCTGTTACCAGTCTTCACTTGGTACATATTATATGCATTGAGCATTGAAATGTCCATGAGATGGAAGAAAAGTTTCATGTACCACTTGTAACTCTTACAAACACAATCAATAAAGCCAATCTGCATGTCACATTTGTCAACCAAGCGCATGTTTTGTGTATAGTCAATCACTTTCAGTGGTTTTCGAATACATTCATTAGTCACTCTATCAACTTTGCCACTGTCTTGCATTTCGTTACGGTGAATGGTTGTCAACAATGTGACATCTCGTTTGTCATGCCTCCGTAATGCCATGATGTCATTGGCAGTAAACACCTGCACCTCTTCACCACGAGTGCCTACGTTGAACCTGGGCATATGTTTACGATTAGAACGCACTGTGCCACACACATCTGTCGTGTTAACTTGCAAGAAATCACTGAGTAAAGGGCTTGTGTACCAGTTATCAGTATATAATGTATGCCCCTTACCAAAATAAGGTGCCACCATGCTTCTCACTATTGTCACCTGAGATACCCAATAACATCCTGGTATCTTTCAATGTTTTACTTCCTGTGTATACAACAATGTCCAATACCAGGCCACTGTCACAGTCACAGAGTACAAGCAGTTTTATACCAAAGCGTTTCCTCTTGCTCGGTATATACTGTTTGAACAACAGTCTACCTTTGAACAAAATCAAAGACTCATCAGGTACAAGATTCTTGAATGGATAAAAGTACATGTTGAACTTTTGTTTCAGATACATAAAAACATTTCTAATCTTGTATAACCTGTCACTTCTGTCAGGCCTGGTTTTGTCAGAGAAGTGCAACATACGTAACAGTAAGATAAACCTGTTCAATGGGATGATTTCACTGAAGACTGGGGTACAAATTATCTGATCTGTGGACCAGTATGCTTTTATATTATGTTTATAGACATGAGGTATAAGCATTATTGTTGCAAAAAGCAAATACATTTCTGCAGTAGTTATCTTTTTCCACCGGTGTAGTCTTGACTGTGGTGATTTGATCGTATTTACCATGGTGTACTCAAAATACTTGTTACTTTCCCTGACAGTAGTTTCCATCAAGGGCTGGTCAAAGAATAGTTCAAAGAATTCCAGTTCATTTGCAGTGTTTCCAAGGGGACAAGTTGGTAGAATTCCACTTTGAGAGTCATCAAACTGGTGGGACTTGGGAACAAAATTGGGATTTTGCTGCCAATCCCAGATACGGTTTGCTGGTGGATACTGGACATCATAAGCTGGTTGTGCTGGTAGTTGTGGTTCTGGCGGGCTGGTGGCTGACGCTCCGCTTTGTCCTTGAACTGAGGAGTCAGCAGCGTGGGTCCCAGCCTGGGCTGGTGAGTCATGCATGGCCGTGGCACTACCATCACCACTACCACCACCTACTGATGCCTGTGGTCTATCCATGCCAAGTGTAGCCACATCATCCTCATGGGATGTACTCCGTCCCCTGGGCACTGCATAGGGAACACTACCCGAGTGCATGTGGTGGCATATATACCGAAGCTTCACTGGTGAACATGTTTCTTCACTATCACTACTCGAATGATCGTCAAGAGCAATAAAATCATAATCCACATCACTATCATCATCATTACTGAAGTCAGAGGCCTGGCCATGCGAAAATAATAGTTTTCTCTTGCGATGAGGTACAACTGAATGTGACCGAGGCATGCTCACACCAGAGGTAGAAGGTTGAGGATCGTCAGGGTTTTCTGCACTATTATCAATATCCTGGTCATTCCTTTCGGTCACAAACTGATCAAAGCCAAAGAATTCGTCTTCATTTCCACTTCCATCAGAGTCATAACTATCAGATAGGAAGAGGAGAGTCCCAATTTTCCTTGGAGTGAGAGCTGCCTTGTGATGAGGCATGGTGAACAAAGGTAACTGCTGGCGTTCCCACAATGCTATGTGGGCACCTAGAATTTTTGTTTACGGTGCACACACACCACGCAGACCCGTTCTCTCACATGTAGGCCTACCAGCCTTTTCGCACTAAATTTGATGCCGCTAGAATTTTGGCATAGATCTACGGTTTGGACCCTGAACGTAAAGCCGTAGATCTACGGCACGGACCCTGAAAGGGTTAAGTGTCACCCAACTCTCATGCTGCATTGAGCCTCTGTGTAACATTGTAGATACATTCAGAGAAGAGGCTATTTGTTGCTGATCTCTGCTATGTGAACCCAGTTTGATGTTAGTAGAAGCAAGATTAACGTGCAGACTCCTCTTGATACTGTTGGAGAGCTCTTAGTCCAAGGAATGGAGGCTGCTCTCACAATTCACACAAGATGATGATTAGAAATGATGCAACAAAATTTAGCTCCACAATTCCACCTTACTACATTGCTTTCTAAACATTTTGTCTAAAGAGAAATTTAATGCAACACAATTGTGTGCCCAAGTCTAAGGTAGTGTCTACAAAACATGTAAATGTCAGGTCCTGCCAAGCTGCTTCATCACTGCTATGTTTATTTCATTCATGCTGAAAGGGTTTTGTACCGGAGGACCTCAAATATACAGCCCTTCTTTTTGGTGTTCCACATTTTCATTGGTTTTTCAATTGAGCCACTGTTCCACCCGCCAGTGACAATCGCCAGGGCATGGAACTCAGTGAACAATAGCTCAATTTGAAAGAAAATATGGAACATCGAGAAAAAGGTGCTGTATATGGAGGGTCATCCTGTATGTGGTATAGCAAAATTTTCTTTGTCTGCTTTTATTAATATTTACACTCCTGATGTTTGTAAGTAAATGTCCACAGACTTTGGAGATTTTTTTCACATTGGTCGTTTTCTACCAAGGTAGGTCAGGTCAGATTAGGTTGTTTACTTAATCTCCATCTTCCTAGAAGTATGCTGATGTCACACTTCAGATGACTGAACTGCAATGTCCTCACATATTTGTATTTATACCTTAGCAAGAGAAAAAAAAATTTCTTCTATTACCATAATGTAAATTATTAAAATAATGTATAACAAATTTAAGATATACTTTTCACTGTAGGAAGCAAGAATAATTTATCCTTGACTAACATCATTTTATACTATTGTGTATACCAATACTATATAAAAGTATTAAACAAGTTTGTTTTCAGTAAGCTTGGAATGTATTGTATTTTTTATGCTTGATGTGGTGGACTTCTTGGATCTTAGTTAAGAGACCAATTTATATTCAGTAAAATGTGTCACATAAGACATCTTGATGAAATTAAGACACATGTGCAACATCTGGGTATCTTTATTGCAGATGTTTCGCCATCCAGTGGCTTTATCAATACAAATTCCAGGACATAATTTGAAGACAATAGAACTATATATTGTCTTCAAATTATGTCCTGGAATTTGCATTGATAAAGCCACTGGATGGCGAAACGTCTATGATAAAGATACCCAGATGTTGCACATGTGTCTTGATTTCATCTTGTCAGTACAACACGTAAGACATCTTGTTAAGTAACCAAGTAGATGTCAAAGGAAGACTTCATTCTGTTTTCTTATTTCTGTAGTTTCAAACATGACATCTGCACTGACTTCATCATCTTCCTCACTACAACATTCAGTGACTTCCTGACACCCATACACAAATGTCATCACTGTACTGTGAAGCGTTCTTTTTTTTTTTTAATTCGTTTCCACCGACTCCCCAACACTCCAACCACCTTGATTCCCTCATCTATTCTCTGATTCACCTCGTCATTCATAGACTCATCTTCCGACACATTCTCTTCCACATTTCTTAATAAATGCATTCACTTCTATACTCAGTTGGGATGATAAAATGTAGAAAAAACTATATCATGCCTTAGAGTGCAATATGCCTTTTCTCATGAGTCATTAAGATCTACAGTTTACCTGTATACTAAGATCAAGAATACTCTAAAATATGGATTAAACTCAAAGCATATACTGCAAATACTGAGAGATGCATCATTATTCTTCTAATTAACAGCCATTGAAATGCAAAAAAGAACCTTTAAATTAGCTTTAAACATTTAAAGCCCAAACCCTCGGGAAACCCCCTTTCAGTAAATACCACATTAAAATGGCACAAGTGGGAAAGTAGTTTTTGGAAGTACCCCCACGAGAAAAAACAAAAGGGCCCATCCACATCTCAAAGGGGAAACCCTTTTATGATGAAGAAATGGATGGTTAGTTCATCTAAAAGGGAAACCCCAACAGGCACACCACGTGAGGGGAAAAATTTACATAAAAAAACCTAAACATGGGGAAGAGGGAGCTTTTTCCCCAAGTCAGACCTAAACATTGCCCAAAAAGTTCTCTCTGCTATAGGGGGTTATTTGTGTATTCAGTGCTATAATTATAAGGAATTTGTTTTTTAATTTGAAATTCAAAACCTTTACCAAGAAAATTTTTTCTTGCAATTTTTATAATGCAAATTATTAAAAAATGTAAAAACAGATTAAAATTTTATCTTGCTATTCACTCTAGGAACCTTAATTTTATTTTGACAAACTTTTTTTTTGTTATTTTCACATATACCGATATATAAAAGTACAGGGGGAGCCTTGACTTACAGGCCCCAAACTATGATTTTTTTTTGAAAATTTTGACCCCGTCAAACGATCGTTTTTTTGGCTCTGAGTTACAAGCCAACTTTTGAGTTATTTTCCGCTTTTCCCCCCCACTTCCCCTAAACCCAAACCCTGGAACCTCTCTTGTTTATCTATCATTTAATTTTTTAAATTTCCCGGGAAAATCCGTTTTTCCTTCTCACACGCCCTCCCTGCACTTACTTTTTTAGGACCACATGCTTTGAAAAGTAAAAATTTGGCCAAAGGGCCTGCAAAAAATAAGCAAAGCAGGAGAGAACTGCTCCCACAGCTAGGAAAAACAGTGCACGAGCGGGCTTGGGTCTGAAGCCCGTTGTTAAAAAAATGAATTATTTTTAAATAATTGGGGAAAGAAATCTATCTTTATTTTTAAAAAATTTTTTTTTTTTTAACAATTGGCCGTCCCCCCCACCGAGGAGGGTAACCCACCAAGGCAGGGTGACCCCCCAAAGGGGGCAGGGTGACCGAGAAAGAAAAAAATCCCTCCCCCTACTCTACAAAATCACCTTTTTTGCAGAGGTGCCCAGAACACAACATTTTTAGAAGAATATATTAAAAGGGTTTAACAAAACCCCATATCCCTTCCAAACTCCCCAATACCCAAACCCCTTTAGTTTGAAGGGTAAAACCCCATTGTCCCCTTCCCCATTTCCAGGACTCAACCCCGGCTATATAAAAAAAACCCGGGTTTTCGGGGGGAACCCTTCACTAAATATTAACCCTGCTCCCCAACTAAACCCTTTTCGTTAGGCCCCAGATCCCCTTCCCATCTCCATTCATTTTCTATCTAAAATGCTCATCATGTTGCTAGAAAGCCCAAAGCCCCTCGGCCACAAAACCCCCTTTTAAAACCCCCTCCCTCCAACCTTTTCGAGGTCCCCCCCCCTCCCCCCCCCTTCCCTTCCCCAAAACAGATTTTTTTTTCGCTCCCCAAAGGGCCCTTTTATACTTTGATCCTTTCTCTCTAAATGACCAAACCCCCCTCAACAACCCCTCTTCAGCCCTCTAAACTAAATTATAAAACCCCTTTTTGATTTTTTTCCCGTCGTACTAAACGCCCTTACGCTGGGGGTTTTTTGACGTACATACGCAAAAAATTCTAGCGGCCTCAAATCCGCGCAAAAGGCTAAATGGGCCCTAGGTGTGAAGGGGGGCCCCCGGGCGGGGTTCATTGTGCGCGGAAAAAAAAAAATCTGGGACCCGTGGGGGCTTTGGGTTGGGAATCCCCTTTTAAAGTAAAAAAGCCCAACCAGGGCCTCGGGGTAAAAGCCCCACTCCTCGGCAAAATTGGGGGACCTTTTTTTTCCCCCAAGTGACAGTTCTAAAAAGTGAGGGGAAGTGCCATTGAAGATGATTTTCGGGGTTTTTAAAGGGGGTTTTTGGGAACCGAAACTAAGGGACCAAAATATCGGTAAAAGTGAAAAAAACCCAAAACGCCCCTCGGGCCTTTTTCCCACCCCCGGGTGCTGGGCCCTCGGTTCACTTTTCAGTTTTTTCCAGAACCCAAAAAGGAAATTTCCCTTTTTTCCCCAAATCCCAGACTCAATGAGGGGCAGGGGTGAGATGTGAAAAGTGAATATGAACTACAAGCCTTCAAACAGTTCCAGAGTATAGTGAAGTGCAATATTCCCCATGAAGCGTCAGTATATACGACGATATATGCGCCTCGGGAAAGTGTGCCATATGCTATTCCAAGGGGAAGGAGGTTTCCGGAGTACATCCCGTGGCGTAAAACATAAACCGCCCTTTTAAAATGAAAGAAAACTTTTTGAAATTTGGGAGGGAAAATGTCGAGGTGGTAGTGGGCCGGGGGTTTGGGGCCCACCCAGTGGGCCTTTGCTCCCCCCCCACCCCCCCCCCCTTGGCCACCCACGGCCGCTCCCTTTCAGCTGATCTAGAAAAAGGGCCCCCTCCCCCACTCCCCCACCCACCAGCCTCCACAACCACAACCCCACAACCACAACCCCCCAAAACCCCAAAACCCAAACCTGTCATTTTTCCCAGTCCCCACCAGCAACCGCACCGGGTTTGGAAAGGAAGCTGTAAATTTTGTTCCAAACCCCACCATTTGATGGCCCCAAAAAGGGGAAATAACGGCCTTTTTTTGTGCATTTTGGGAAACAATCCCAACTGAACGGGAATTTTTTCGATTTTTTTCTTTGACAACCACTGATGAAAAGTTTTGGGTCGGGAAAAGGGCAACACATACTAATAAACCCATGGCAAACACAATATTTTAAAAACCAAAAATCACCCCTAAAACCAAGGGAAAGGGAGGCAACTTGGGGCCCTTGGTTATTTTTTTTTTTGCCACAATAATCTTATGCCAAAATGTGTATAAGCACAAAGTAAATCAAAAACTGGCAACAGCCCCCCCTTTTGGGCAACACCGGGTTTCAGTGTAAAATGCCAGTGAATCGATTTGGGCTAAATGTTACGTATGCTTCACTTCTCAGAAAAACCGGGCCTGACAGAACAAAACGGTTATATAAGATTAGGAAGTGTTTTTGTGTATCTAAAACAAAAAATTCAGTTTTTCATTTTTATCCCTTCAGGAAGTTTGTAATTGACGGGGTTTTTGGATTCTTTTTCAAAGGAAGACTCTCTTTCAAGCAGTACATCCCAAACAAGAGGAAACCCCTTTGGTAAAAAAAGTTGTTTGTCCCAATTGGGTTTTTTTTACAGGGTCCGGTTTTGGAAATTTTGGTACACGGGAAAAGTTAAAACATTGCAAAATCCCCAGGAAGTTATTGGCATCCCCAGGTAATGTGGTTCGAACAATGATAAACCAAAACCTTGGTAAGGGGCATAAATTAAATACAGAAAACCCTGGTACACAACCCCCCTCCCCGGGGGATTTTTTGCGAGTAACAGGGACAGATGTGTTTTTGGCACAGTGCGTGCAAATCGAAAACATTTTCCCGGGTTTTTGATGCGGCACCGCAGAGGTGAGGGCAGGCGTTTGCTGCCAATGAAAAATCAGGGCCCTTTTCCCGGTGGCATGCCCCCCCAAAAAAAAAACAGATGTAAACCCCTGTTGTATCAATTTCACCCTAATAAAAAGGGGCGGGACATTGGCAGGCAGCATAAGAGAGAAAGGGAACCCCAAATTCTAAAACCTCCCAGCTGTGATTAAAAACCCCTTTCAACATGCGTTTTTTTGGAAAATGGGACATGAAATTTGGGTTTGCGATTGTTTTCCCGCAAGATTTATAAGTTTTTACACAAACTTTTTTTTCCATTTTTCCCTGGACTTTTTCCAGCTCAATCTTATAAAAATGTAAAATGACACCAGAAAAAAACCCACAGTAAGGGGGAATTTCCCTGTTTGTCTGCCTTCAGACAAATATTATTCAAGAAAAAACCCCAAAAGGGAAATGCACCTGAAATTTTGACCGCCCACCAAAAATCAACAACTCCCTGCCGTCTGAAGCATGGGATCATTTCCCTTTGGAAAAAAACTGCCTGCTACTGTTTTGGAAGAAAAAGGCTCAAAAGGTTTACTTCTGTTCACATAAAAAAAAAAAAACGCCCACAAAACGAGAACCCCCCGTTTATGTGTGAGGATGCAAAACCCCACTGTGCAGACACCATGTTTTTCAAAGATTCCACAGGCTGAAAGAATTTCCCTAAAAACCCAAGCCCCTGTGACTGTATTTTGTATAAAAAATTTAAAAAAAAAAATAGTAAAAAAACAACATTTCATATTGTTTTTTTGGGTGTAAATATTTTCTGTAAACAAAATAATGCAACATTTTTAAACCCCCTTTATTTTTGTATATTAAAAAGAAAATAACTTACAAAAACTGATCATTTTGGGCCTAAAGGGCCCCCATAAAATTTACTCAAAAAAAGAAAAAATTAAAAAAAAAAAAAATATACATAAAAAAGTAAATAGAAAAAAAACCCGGGGGGACGGCAGTGGGCGATGTTACCATAGTTTTTAAATTTTTGGGGAAATTTAAACACCTCCATATCTCGGTAAGAAATTTAAACGCAAAAATTTTTTTGTTTAGCCTATAATGTTTAGAAAAAAATACTCTTTTTTTTTCTTTGAAAAAAAAAATTTTTTTTTTTTTTTTAAATTTTTGGGGCCGCCCTGAGAACGAGTTCGGAGAGGGCCTTTTCGCCCCTTAAAAGGGTTTAACTCTAAAACCTTCCCCCAATTTCCACACTTAAAAAATTCTCTGAAATAATATTTAAAACCCACACATTCCCCTTAGACAGGACATTTTTCCACTACCCCCAACCCCGGCCCTTTTTTCGCTGCAGCTTTTACAACCCAAGCTTCAAAACCCATGAAAGAGTTTTTGGTACCACGTACTTACTTTCATCCCTTCCTTCTTTGCCTCCATAGATAACATTTTTTGACTCCCCCTATACCTCAATGAAAACCACTCCCCTTTTTTTCCTTTCCCGTCATTCAAATGATTAACCTCATCCTTTATAAACCATCCGCTAAAAACTTCAACTCTCAAATACTAAAATTTTCCCGGTTCTTTCCATACCCCCTTCCCCCCCAAATATAAAAAACAAAAAGGCACAAAAACCGTGACGGGAAACGATAACACAAAAAA